AATAATCTAGAAGAAGGATAGAACATATAGAAACATACAGGGCTTTCATTTCAAAAGGAACCAGTCTCAATAACTTTTGACATTGAGTAAATATAGGTACCTATTTTCAAGCGAAAACAGATCGATTAGCATCGCGAGGGGGAAGTTCAAAACAAACATTAGTTACATTTTATGTTGCATCCCCTAGTCGCTAGCCACCCCTACTTTAAAATTTTAAACGGCACCCCCTACTTTTTAAAACGTTTTCAAAAAGAGAAAAAAATCAGCGTACCTAAATGTCAAAGAAAAATAGTATATTATAATACTAGATGAGACACTCGTAGCGCAGAGCCCCACCTGTAAAGTGTGTGGGGAATCTAGACCTTCACACGCCGGGGGCTGGGAATTTGCAAAGCAAATCTCCCAAAGCGCCCACCGGAAGAGGTAAACCGACATCAGCCAAAACAGCTACTCCTCGGGCAAATACCCCGCCAGGCGCTGAATTACATGACCAATGCCGGCTCCCCCACATTTTTCATATTATAATACTAGTTTATAAGCAAGCATTTAAAACACGCACGACGGGTTTTAAAGTCGTAAGTGTTTTAAAGGCGTTTATAAACGAGTGTTATACGCTATTTTTTATTATACCTGCCCATTTACGATCTTTTATGAGCACTGAAAAAATGTGTATTTACACAATAAAATTATCAAAGGTTGTTTGTGAATCGTTTTCGTAGAGACGGTTACTAGTTTACGTTGTTAATCACATTTTTTCACGTTGTGATTGGTGCACTTCACTATTTCTTGTTACCTAGACAACTTTAAAATTGCATAGGACGGCCTGCAATAGCCAAAAAGACTTTAATAATTCAATAATAATGTTTTTTTCTAAAAATTTTGAAATGTTTTTTATTATACCTGCATCATAATCCTAAATTAAAACACGCTGCAGCGTGCGTAATTTGGCCTTTGTAGCACGCTGAAATTTTAAAGTTGCCTAGGTAACAAGAAATAGTGAAATGTCTGGACCAATTACAAGTGAAAAAATGTGTTTAACAACGTAAACTAGTAACCGTCTCTACGAAAACAATTCACAAACAATCTTGGTTAATTTTATTGTGTAAATTCATATTTTTTCAATGCTCATAAAAGATTGTAAATAGGCAGATATAATAAATAAAAAATAGCGTATAACACTCGTTTAAAGGCTTGCTCGTAAACTTGTATTATAATATACTATTAAATTTTATGTTTTTTTATTATGTCGCTGTTATGTTCAATACAAATCTATAAATCTATAATTTTTAATGTATCGTATCCAAAGTGCAAATCTACCATTTTATAGTGGTTAGCTTAAAGTTTGAATCTACCATATCCAAAGTGCAAACCTACCATTTTATAGTAGTTAGATTTAAGGTTTGAATGTACCGTATCCAATGTGCGAATCTACTCTTTTATAGCTTGTTAGGTCCAAAGTTAGGAGCGTTTTTTCAAATTGTTAAAATATATTCCCCTTTAAAATTCAGCGTGCTATAAAGGCCAAATTACGCACGCTGCAGCGTCTTTTAATTTAGAATTATGATGCAGGTATAATAAAAAAATCTTTGTCGATTTGTTTTTCAGTTAGAGGTGGTTTAATTCTTGAAGTTGTGTGTGTGTAATCAGTATTAGAGTCAGTAATATCTGGGATAATAAAATTTATTTTACTTGCGCAGAGTCTTTGGATCCACAACAACCAATTTCAGACGATGAAGATCTTCGCAATGTATCTGCCGAAGGGTATATGGATCCACAACAATCAAATTCTGACGAAGATTTTCTCAATGTATGTGCCGGTAGCAACGTAAGTGAAATTATGCTCTTATGAACCATATTCTATTTGTTAATTCACAAATATTATTGTTCATTTCCTTTTCTATTGATAGCCACCGTCTGGAAAACCAGATAAGTTGCTCGGCACATCGGACTTCATTAGTCTTCTGGGGACGAGGGATAAGTCGTATTACATCGATAAAACCCCTCTGTTTTCCTTAAATATGGTCGAACCGAATTTTGCAAAGACTGTAAATCTCTTGATGCTTAAGACTTTTGCAAGTACCAACAGAAGAATACAAGATGCAATCAGAAGATGAATTCCAAATAAAGGTAAAAGAGACAGCTGATTACAAGCTGTTTTTTGACCATCAGTTAGAAATAACTAAGAATTCAGATTTGATGAACAAACATTTTGGAAAATATCCTGTATTACACATTTCACTTAGATGTGATTTATACAGGTTGTATTATGAAAAACGCCCCAAGCCATAACTCCGTTATTTTTAAAGTTATGACAATACTTCTTAGAACGAAGTTGAACATTTTTTGTCATCTATCGTTTGGGATAGATGCTAAATTAATGCTGTTTTCTGTTTCACCGCAAATGACATCAACTTAATTTTTGTTAATAGAACATCCTGTATATTTTACTACTTTTGGATTCTTTGTTTAATTGTCTTTTAACAAGTTTTAGTACCATGTGCCTAAAACCAACCGTTCGTGAGATATGAGTCAATTAAAAACTTATTAAAGTAGGCAGTGGAAAACAATAATATTAAGTAATGTTGACAAATATTATTACTTTGCATTTTCTCTTATTATTTTTATACTTTTTGGTGTCAATCATGGCTGATGTGTTAACAGACATGATTCAAGAATATTTTGAAAGCAATAAAAATACTTGGAGACCACAACGCCTTTACACTGGGCGATTTCCAATAAGAGAAGTTCCAATTCGTCGACCTGAAGAAAATTTGAGGATGTTTGGGGTTTTTAGAAAACCCAAATTAGGTTAGAACAGTTGCGTGCGATAAGCCAACGTTACTTGCAATTTCTTGAATTCATGTTCTTGCATTTTCTTCAATACCTATCTAATTCTGTATCTCTTTGAAATTAGAGATGTTTTAATTTGGGTTTTCTAAAAGCCCAAAACATCCTCAAATTTTCTTTAAGTCTTAAATTTTCGACGATTTGGAACGTCTCTCATCAGAAATCACCCAGTGTAAAAGCGTAGTGCTCTCCCACAATTTTTATTTTATTTAAAATATGTCTGTTAACACATTATCATCCATGATTAACATTAAAAAGTATAAAAACAGTAAGAGAAAATGCAAAGCAATAATATTTGTCAACATTACTTGATATTATTGTTTTCCACTGCCTACTTTAATTATTTGGTGAATATCTCACGAACGGTTAGTTTTAGGCATATGGTACTAAAACTTGTTAAAAGACAATTAAACAAAGAATCCAAAAGTGGTAAAATATACAAGGTGTTCCATTAAAAAAAATAAAGTTGATGTGATTTCCGATGAAACAAAAAACAGCAGTAATTTAGCATCTATTCTAAACGACAGATGACAAAAAATGTTCAACTTTGTTCTAAGAAGTATTGTCATAACTTTAAAAATAATGGAGTTATGGCTTGGGGCGTTTTTCATAATACAGCCTGTATACAGGCTGTTCGGTTCAAGTCGCCCCGGCCGATAACACCTAAACTTACTTTTTTTTTCAAAAACTAAATTTTTAAATAATACTATTAATTCCTGGCTTTCTTAGAGAATGGAACAAATTTTTTAGCACATCCGGTGTAGCCGGAAATGCTACCAAATTTAGTTTTTCAAATGGAACACCTATGTTTTTTGCTCGAAACAATAATAATTGGCATGAAAAATACGGTAAACCACTATTTATTACATTTTACTTGACATAATGCACTCAGAAAACAATTTAAAWTTTWGAATTTTATTGCAAAWTTTKSMA